TGCAGCAACCAAAATCGAATTGCACTCAAACACCGTTAACGGTATTGCGCATCGGTCATCGCACAAAAGAAACTTATACGGTAACACGTAAACCAAAATGGGGATCGCAGCAAAATGACGTCACGTTTCACAGCCATGGAAAAAGTGCTATGAAAAATGGATATAAACCGGTAGAGCCGGGAAAAATGACTATGAATTTCAATTAGCGGGCATGGTTAAGAACATGACTGCATTTTCAACCAATCAGAAGACAGGATTAGTAAAGAATCTTAAAATGAGGTATATAAAGCAAATTATTTTCTTCTCTTTTTAACCGTGGTTAGTTTTATATTCAATTCAGCGCACATAATCTTGAAAGCGACTGAAAACACAGCACCAAAAATTCCTTTGATGCATACAAAGTGTGTATCTCATACCAATTCCTTGATGCTTATAATTACGTTCAAGATGTTATATTTAGGGGAATGCTTCACAATTTAAAATGAAAATTTGATGTAAGAACTTCCCTCTTTTTCTTCTCTTCCTCTCTCTCTTTCCCTCTCCTTGTTTTTCAATTTCTCGCCCCTCTTGCTTTGTCTTTCTGTTCTCTGCATTTACCTTTTTCCATCATATTTCTTTTGTCTCTCTCTCTCTCCCTCAAAACACAAACCTATTTATATTCCATGCTTCTCCATTGATATATTTTGACTTTGTCATTCTCCATTTCTTACCTTTTATTTTTACACCACAACTCATTTGTGTAAATGAAGATGGAAAACCTGCTATGTTTCAGTTGATTTTATCTATGTCTCTGATGAACACCTCTCCTTCTCCTCATCTCTCGTCTGAAAATCTTTTTTTGGGGGGGAGTTTGTTTTCCTTCTTTTTTCCACTCCTCCAATCTCTTTTCTGATACTCTCTCATTCACTCTTATCTCTTCTCTTCTTTTTCTCTTCTTCCTTAATTTCTTTCTCTCTCTCTCTCTCTCTCTTTCTCTCTCTCTTTCTCTCTCTCTCCCCTCCCCCTTCCTCCCCTTTCCCCCTTTCCTCCCCTCCCCCTCCCTCCCCCTCCCTCCCCCTCCCTCCCCTCCCCTCCCTCCCTATCCTCTTACCACTCTCTTCCCCCCCTCCTCCCCTCCCTCCTCCCACCTCCAATACTCCATCAGAACTAGATGACACTGCTTCCTTTCAATATTGACCAAGCACCGGTACAAATAGACATTCTGTGCCCGGGCAATGCTGCACCCAACTAATATGGCAGTTAGAGCTTGTTAAAAATTGCCTGCCATTATACTACATAGGTGGTACAATCAGAGCCCTAATTTGCTCGGTCATTCCTATCCTGTACCAATTTGGCCATTAAATGCTATCCTTGACTTTAATCACGTCTGCATTAAGGTTTTTGAACACTTCATGGCTCCCCTTCCCATCTCCTCTCTTTCTCACTCCTTCCAGTAAAACAACAATATTAATGACACCTATTTGTTCACCAACTCTTGTCAGCCAGTTGTCACAATTTAAGGCCACAATATATAGTATATCAGCAACATAGATCCACCATACATATTAAATCTCAAATATTGCGGTCTCTTGTAGTTCACAAAGGTTCAGTTGCCGCACCCCCATATTCCCACCCCTGTCCCTCTCCACCTCCCCCTACACCCATCCCCCTCCTCATCCACCTCTCTTCCTTTACCCATGTCATCTCCTCACCCTCACCTCTCCCAGTAAGGTACATGCTTCTTTCTAAAGCTCTAAAACATCAATATCGATGTCCCCTGCCCCGCTCCATATTCCCACCCCCTGTCCCCCTCCCCCCTTCACTGCAGCCCCCTTTCTTCATCCCCTTCTCATCCCCCCCCCCCTCTCTCTCTCTCTCTCTCTCTCTGTCACTCCTTCCAGCATGATACACAGTCTATCGGTCTCTCGAAACAAGCTCTCATAACAACAATTGATGATACATGTATTTCTTCACCAACTCTTGTCAGCCAGTTGTCACACTACAAGGCCACAATTTTACATGCATCAGCAATATTGATCGGGCCACCATACATATTAAATCTCCAATATCGCTGTATCGTGTACTTCACACACTGTAAGTTCAGTTTCAGGCTCTCTTGGGTGTAGTCATAAATCTCTCCTATCCCTGTCGCCAGGCTTAAGATTGCAATAAATATGGAAAATAGATTTTCAGCTTGCTCACATGATACATAATAGGCCTGTCTCCATCAGCTCAAGTTTGCCAAATAACCCACCATTTTCAGACTCTTGATATTATCCCGAAGCTTGAAATTGCGTCTTCAGCCCGCTTTTTCCAAAATAGCGGGATATTTGGAAACAAGACTAAGATTTCTTGGGATATTTACTCGACCAAATATCCCGCTAATTGCAACTGTGGGCTGATGAAGAAGCAAATTAACTGATTAATTTGCGATCAGGATAGTTTAAAAAGCGGGTTACCGGTATTTGGCAAATTCGAAAAGATAAAGACAGGCCTATTTGTGGATTCTTGTAGCTTCACCTAACCGATAATATGTCCCTTGAGAGCAAGGTTGGCTGTCAATGTTATGTGATTATTGCATCCAAATTGGCAATGATACAGTATGCTTTCTCATGTGCCATCTGTTAAGCTACAAATGTAGAGAATGATAGGAGTCATGAGTCAGGTAGTCATCCACCCATCTTAAAATATATCAGGAAAAATCCAACTTAAACGTGGTGAATCACTATTCGCTCCAGGCTGTATTTCCCTGCAGATGTAAGGTTATAGTGTCGCTCTATGTTTTAGGTTAGGTTCATATGGTTTTGCTTGGTGATGGTTAATTATAATGTTTGGCCCAGGGATGTTGTAGTAAGTGTAGTGTCCTGAGCAATTGTCGCCGCTGCATGAAATGTAAGACCTTTACATTGAAGCGCATTGGTTATGGGAAAATGAATGACATTTAAGCACTATAGGGTAAAATTGCATCTTCAACATAGATCTAACCACTGTCTTTGTAAGAGAGTTCTTTCCTCATCTTTCTTTCTTGATGACCTTGTCGTTCCATGACTTAGATAGAAGCAAGCTTGTAGACAAGTGAAAGCATGAGACACGGTGTGCATCACTGACATTTTCTTTACGTATCCAACTGAAAACAGTGGGATGTAATTATTTGTTGCCATGATACCATGTTCAGCAAATACAAAGAAATTAGGTCTATGTTGGAGTCACATTCCGCCATTGTGGTTTCAGGCTTGGTTAGGGAGAATTAAGCGCAACTTTTATAAGGAGAAGGTTGAGTTCTTATAAAGATGAAAAATAATTTGTAAGCTTTCTCATTCTGTATAATTGTCAGTTTGGAAGAACATCATTTTAGAAATGTCTCCTGAAAAGAGTTGCTTGTAATCATAACACCCTATTATGTGAAATATGACAAGAAATCGATGAAGAGTTTGGATAAAACATCTGTGTATTGTCCCATAAATACATCTTGTTCAGTGCGTGTGATCTTCTACAAGATTAAGTCAGTTTCTTTGCATCTTGAACACTCTAGAACTTCACAGTATTCATCAAATCCTTGTCTACTACACCATCAACTTCACCCAATAACACCCAGATATATATATATTTTTTCTTTCTTCAAACAATGTATTCCCATGACTACCAGTACACAAGTTTATCTTTAACAATGCGTGAATAACTCCTCACACGAGGGCCTTGTCATGAAGCACACTTGACTGGCCAGCCAAGAGAATGGCGATGATGTAAACGTGCTCCATTAGGATAGTTGCCATGGAAACTGGTGTTGATAATGTTTATGAATACACCAATACAGATATTGCCTATTCTTTGTAATTCCTCTTCCTTTTCACCCCATCTTTCATTTTTTTTGCAGGAAGAGTGACATTTATATACCCTAGATATGTTTGACAAACACATCCTGTGTATTGTTTCATACAACATTGGACATGTAGAGTTGATTCCTTTTTACTGTTTGTAATTCTTTCTTGGATTCAGAATAATCGACTGTTGTGAAGACATATATTTATAAGTCTTCACCCAATAGCTCTCAATCTTACATGCTATGCGCTTATGTCTCTTTTGAATTCTTTTTCAAGGATTTATCCATGGTTTCCTCTACAATCATTCATGTTATTACAATTTTGATAACAATAAACTCAACAATTTTTAGGTCTTTGGACAGCATGGTCGATTTCATTCTATGGCTGAAATTAATAGATAACCAGAAGTGTTCCTTGTTGGGTTATAACAAAATTTCAGCAGGTTCCTGATATTTGAAGTAATATGGACATTTTGTTATTAGGATATTTGGGCACCTTAATTGCTGGCCAAAGTGATAAATGGACCTTAAAAATATTTTAGGGCTGCAGTCTCTCTATCCCCCCCCCCCCCCCACCCCCTCCCTCCCGCACTTTGTTCACTTTTACCGATAGTAATCATAACAATCAAGATGCTGTTCTTGTCGCAGGGATTTTTAAAAATATTTTTAAATGAACCAAGCTGGTCAGTCCTCCATAGCAATTAGTTATGGACAAGGTTTCATTAGATCGAATACAAGCTACTCTTTATGATGACATTGATTTCATGGCCATATGATTGAAAACTTTTTCAAAAGAAAAAAATAAAATTTGAGTTTACTTTTTTTTTTAATGCACTAATAATAATTATAATAATAATAATTAAATTTGCATATATATCGCCTTACATTTACTTTATCAGAAATCTCTAAGCGCTCTACAATAATTAAGCATAATTACCCTGGCTTTAGCAGACCAGCTGTCCCATGCTCTGCATTTCAAGGAATAAATTCCTACCAGGTCCCCGTTTACATCACCTGGGTGAAGTGTGGCAAATGTAGATCAATGTCTTGCCAAAGGACATTAGTGCCGTGGCGGGACTTGAACCGCGGACCTCGTGATCCACAGTCCGGCAACGTATCCACTCGACCATGACACCTCTACTAAACAGTGTACATACCTAAACTTGTAGAACATTTTCTTCTCATTTGTCATCTTTTACAGTTGTCTACACTCCTATGACGGAGAAGACGACAGCTGCTGGAGGGGCCGCTAACGATCATGGAAAAAATAATTCCCATTCAGACCCGACTGCCATCTCAGTCGCAGCATCAGCAGCCAGCTTAATTCTGGTCTTGGTAGCCATTGTCATCTGGTACTTTCTGGTCAGAAAACAGTAAGTATGCTTATTTAACTCGTATACTACCAAAGTATAGTTGGTGTAGGTTTATAGTACAGGAAAAGCTGGTTCCCATAGGGAGTGGGTTAATTGAAATTCACATATCATCTATTTGGAGCCAGAGGAGCATTAACTCACATACATGTACTCATATAGATATATACAAAGGCCCTTCTCGCTCTCAACAGATGATATCCATTGTGTGAGGGAAAAAATCGGAAAAGTACTATAACATTAGGAAGCTGTTATTAGGAAAATTCTTTTAGGATTGAAATAATCCATCATATAACACACAGCATTTTGGTTATGAGATTGTAATGATTTATGTATGCACCTTTTTATTATTTGTCTCTTTCTCTCTCTCTGTCTCTCCTGCACTTTCTCTCTTTCTCTCTCACTCTCTCTCACTCTTTTTGTCTCTCTTTTTATCTCTCTTTTTATCTACCGGGTATATTTTTGTCTCTCTTTCACTTTATCTGTCTCTCCTCCCCCTCTCTGTATCTGTCTCTCTGTCTCTGTCTCTCTCCCCACCCTCTCCTCTTCCTTTCTCTGTCTTTCTCTTTCTCTTTATAAGGTTTTTAATCCAGTGCAAGCACGTTCGCATTTTCCATTATCTTCTTGGTAGTACCGTGCTTTTTCCCTCCTTTCAATACTCCCTAGCCAGACAAGAATACATTAGTTCAAGTAAAACTCTGTGTTTCACTTAATTTCATTGTCCATTGCACTCTCCTAATTTCAGATTGCTTTCAAAAACCAAAAGCCACCAGCGACTTGGGAGCCACAAAAGCCATCGTAGCAACCAGGGAAGCCGACAAAGCAGTTTCCAAGATGGTCACCATGACAATGTATCGTCGCATAAAAACCACCATGGAAGCAAGCACTCGCCCAAATCCCACAGATCCAGCAACTCCCCAAAATCACATCACCGTCATTCGGGTTGCCATGACAACAAGGAGGTCTGCACATGCCGCAAGTCGTACGACTCTCCCCTGGCGATTCGGCGATCGCCCAAGGGCAACACGGTGACGGAATGCACAGGGAATTCGCCATACTGTCCGCATACCACGCGGTTCCAGCATCCCAACCACCGTAAAGGAACGAGGGACTCGGTGCATTCAGAGCTGAGTGATGCGGGCTGTACTGCTCCGGTGGAAGCCATCTGCACCTGTGACTTACCGCAGGGTCATACAAAGGTCATAACGGGGGCAGACTTTACCGTGGTAGAGCTGGAGGCTCATAATAAGAGACACATGCCTCCGGGGGAGCCGATACATAACGGTCACCTCCCCTGCACGGAGATGAAAGACATACCTTCAACAAGTGCAACACCCCATCAACCTGAATCTGGCCCCCAATGCACTTGCCCTCATCCGCATCCCCCTCCTCCGCTCCCGGTAGCCCCAGTACCAGATAGCCCTCACACCGGGGCGAGTCATCGGAAGGTCGCGAATGCCAAGAGCGATCCAGGGGTCATAGGTCAAAAGGGCAATGGAGAGATGGTCTGATCACAGAATTGCAACTGGAATTGCAAGGAATAATAATTGATTGATTTATAGATGTACTTCAGTGTAACTAAATGATCAATATTTTTACTATGCCTGTATATCATTGAAGCATTCCAATGCATGTATCTTTCTACATGCATACGTATATACATGTACATGTCACATGTGACAAACATAACTTTCTCACACAAATTCATTTTTTGAGTAAAGACCTTCTCTGTTTTTGTTATGCTTTTTTTAAGCTCCTATGACATTAATGATGTACAGCTAAGATATTATAAAACATGAATATCAATATTCTTGGTAAAACTAGATCCATTTTTCTGAAAATGTTTGGCAAACTCACTATGATTAAAAATAGAGGAATCAAATTCTTCGCCATCGACAAATGATCCTCATATCATCCTCTTCTCATAATAATAATAACTCATCTTGTCATCGGATTCAGGCTTACCCGCACACAATGTATGCACATTCTCCACTCCCTGGGGAGCATACTTACAATTTATTCTTCTATAATATGTGAAATGGAATAAGAAAGTTTAAATTTGTTATTTCACATGTGATATGGCATTCTCTGGGAAATCTTATACATATGTTTTCAATTCTTGTCATAATCATTATAAGATTTCAAAAAAGTGCAATATAAATAGTGAATTGTAGAGCAATCACAAGTGTGCAGTATTTTATATTCATATCTCATTCTTCACTTTCCTAGAATATAGAAAAGGTGGAATGTATGATTTCTATTTTGAAAATGTTCAGTTATTTCAAGATTTATTGTTTCTACTCTATTTCTTATCCATTTCATGTCAAAAATTATTTTCATTGACATTGGACTGTGAAGGTATTGAATTTTGCTTATGAATAAGTGGGTTAATTTGAAAGTGGTTATTAAATGATTATTTCTTCTTCTTCTTCATCTTTTTTTGTTAATCTTCAAAGGGCTATGCAACCTGTCTTGAAGATTTGTATTTAGATTACCAGTTGTGAATGCAGCCACACTAAACAGGTTTACAAGCCACTCTTTGCAAGAAATGTTCAGTATTAACGTTTCATAAAATGTTTCCAGATGAGGAATATTGGCCTCTGTTGAGAAGAATATGTTGATTGGTAGTTTTCAAATGAAGATTTCAATAAGCGATATCAAAGACCGCAGGACTCTGACTTTAAAGCTGAGAAAAATTGGAATGTAGGAATAAGATGATAGCAAATAATTGGAGATTTGCAGCATGTGTGAAACATGGAAATTATTGATTTTCTTGAAGATGAAAATGAGCATGTTTTGGAATAAGGTAGCCATTATTTCTATATAAGGTTATGTCACTGAACAAGGACAACTAAAGAAGAGGCATGTAAACGATGTTAGTCTTTAAGTGTTTGAAAAATGCTTCATTTTCATGTTTGTCTTTATGTTCCTAAAACTTACTCTGTTTCATTTGGCTTGCAGTTCACAAAATCAATTCATATTTGTAGATTTACATGTGTGCATACTTGATGAGCCCTTAATCTGGATTGTTTTTCTTTGGTAAGTGTTCAACTATATTTTTGTTCGGTTTGACGTGAAGTGTTTATGGAGATAGTGCCTTTAAACAGAACATTCACTCAAATATTTCCTTTTTGTATGTTGTTTACATGGTTTTGAACAAAGCTAATGATTTTGCAGGAAAATCCCTTCAGAGATTGTACTCCGTTTCTCTGAGCCTCAAAAAGAGTTTCTTTACTTTCAGTGGTTCACTATCATAGCATAGATGAGGTCATATCTATTGTCTTTTTTTGCAACACTGAATATTTTGTAAAAACTGCTGACATTGTTAATAAATAGTCAATTCTAAAATTGTGTACTGTTGCTGTATTTTACATGCAAAAGAGGTTTATTCATAGGCCACCGGATGTAATGATTCTTAGTAATACATTTGAGAACATCTATTGCTTAGGTAAATCAGGGTTCATTCACAGCTGACTATAACTGGTACCATGCATGAAAAAAGAGAGCTATACAATATAAAGTGAACGCATCAGAGCTGTAATAGTTAAATGGATTGCCTTAATTTAACAAAATCATATGTGATTTTAGTGACACATTGAACTGATGGATATTACGGCAATAAAATGTGAGATGAAATAACAAGGCAAGCAAAGAAAAAGTGATGTTGATTTAAAAGGAACAGACTGGCATATTGAGCTATTATCTTATAAACCTCTGTGGTTGTGTGCTACTGAGCATTTAAAGATATACAGTGCATCCTAGAAAGAAACAAAAAAGAGATATATCAATGTTTTATCATAACTTAATCAAAATCATTATTAATAAATGGCACATATTTGTAAAGCTTAGATCCTCTTCTTTCATTTGATGCAATTCATATGATGCATATTTCACGCATGCGTGATAAAAATCCATTTGAAGAAAGGGTACCAAAAAGTCAATTGGTGGCGTATCTGAATTTCAAAGAGAAAATCACATTGCTGGAAAGTTAATTTTCATATGACACCTCAATCAGAAAAAAATGAGCTAGGAATAAGGCAAAGTTCTGTTTGTTCAAAGTAATGCTTGCATTTTCATAATTTTATTAAACAAATTCATTTTCACTGGCTGCCTGCCATAGCAACAAACAGAATTGACGAAAGACTTAATTTGACGATCAGCCATAGACAAAAGATTTCATGCATGGCTGATTTTCAACATCAATTTTGATATATTTCCTCTTCTTGTTCAAAGGCCAATTGAAAATAAAATAAGGTATATAGTAGTTTATTTCATGTGGATTTTACCTCGTGAAAACATGGTTTCATATACATTACATTTGCATATCTAATCATTGGTAGATATGAAGTGAGTGATGACCTCAAATCACAGACCGAGCAGATGTCATCTGCTGAAGGTCAGAGGGACATTCAATCTGTATAAAAATGTATGACTGCACATCGTTCTAGAGGTTAACAGGCAATGTTTTTTTTACATATTAAAGGAGTTGGTGTAGATATAGGATCAATTGTCAATTATAAAATTGGATTCTCTAAATACCATGCTCAAAATGAAATAATATGAATCGGAAAGAAGTTATTCAAATTCTGTGTAATGTATGAATATGGCAACCTCTGTCATTGTATCTTCCCATTGCCCTCAAGTCTTAGTGTCAAGGAAAAATGTTGTTGGAAAGAATAACATCCATACAGTGGCGTTACCAGACAATTGGTATGACCCCCCCCCCCCCCCTTTCAGGTCGACAGAATCATGCTAATTATGAGTTCAAATCTTTGTTGGCAAATTTGTAATTAGTTTGGTCTGAACCTGTTCCCCCGTTCCTCCCTCAAAATGTTCTGGCAACATACCTGTATCATGGCAATAAGCTACATTATTACATAATTTGTTTTATAGTAAAAAGCATGCATCAACCCCACTCCCTCAAACAGCTACCCTACTACAATACCTTGTATGTTTGTCCTGATATAAGCAAAAGGTGCTGGTCACAAAATCGATTATTTGTATATAAAAATATATCACTTCTTATTCAAAAACACAAAAGTATTTCAAAATTATACAGAAATTACATACATGTGATTGTTCAAGTGAAGTCAAATGGAGGAGTAAAATTAGCTTTTGATTGATTTTGATATGAATGCATTTACAGGATATTGGCTACCTCAAACTGTGTTTTGAATTTGTTATGCCTTGCCTAAATCAAACACAAGGAAGTAAGTCCTTACTGTTTCTTTAACCCATTTACAACTGAACGCTTTCAGTCCCATTGTCTTAACACAGAAACCACCTCTTCCTGTAGGCAATGGGTTAATTTCTGTCTAGTGTCAAACTTCTATGAACAGGTTAATCAAATTTCTTGTTGAAGACTTCCTCTAAAACCCTGAAGATGTTTTGTGAGGTAATAACCTTTTCAAACCTGCCTTTCATACTGTACCCTCACATAATATCAATCACGGTGTAACACGATCGCAACTACTTATGAAAAATCAGCTCATGGGCAATTTCAATACCCTTTTGTCTGTCCCATAGAAACCATGTTCAGATTACACAATGTGTCATTGTGATGTTCGCACATTTCAAAAGGTAATGTACTAGGCCGTTGAAATTGCCCGAGGTTGATTTTCGCAAAAGTATTAGTTGCTATCGTGATGCATGTCTATTTAAAAGAAATTGTTGGATTAGTACAGAAATTTCATTGAACATGTTCTGTTGCTAATCGTTTATAGTGCCAGTTATATTTCAATAAATTTCACAACTTTCTTTTACATGAGTATTAAATTTGTAAATTGATATAGGTATTAAAGTTCAGAAGTATGTTCTTTTAAAGTATACTTCACTTTTGCTTCATGGCAGTCGTGGAAGTAATCATCTTTTAAGTGATTAAATGAATAGTATAGTGCATAAATAGTCAGATAAGCAATATTGTGTTCTGATGTTATTTACAAAATAGAAGATTTTTGCTAATATATTTTCTTACATGTTGAAAATGTGCACTCAAGGGATATATGCTAACTGATATTCACGGTAATTAGGAAACTAACATTGTTTTTAACGTGCAGTGTAAGTAAATATTGAATATAGACAAACAAGGTAGTCTAAATATTACAGTAAAGGTGTGGATGGTCACTTCAGTGGAAGAAAAAGGGATAATGCAATATGTATGGTCGCAGGTGGAGTAGCTGCAGGGAGGTACAGAGGGCTTATGCCCCCAATCAAAATGACGAAAATAGGGGGTATGAAAAGAGAGGAAAAAGGGAGAGGGGGAGGAAAAGTGAATTAAAGAGGCTGCAACCATTTCTACACCCTACCCCTCAATAGTGAACTTGTTAATTTTAATTTCATCCTTCAAATTAGACCAGTGTGCCCCTCCCCCTCAAATAAGAATTAATACTGGCACCCCCTCAATGTCTGAACTCACACTACACCACTGATGGCATTATCCCTCTTTTCCACAAAGGCTACTATTTACCGTTCACAAAAATGCATTTTGCTAAAATACTCCTCGGAATATATTCTTGTTTCCCTTTTTCAGGATGATATTTTGACCTCAAAATTGATCTTAAGACTTAATTACGATCTTAATTCTTACAATACAGCACACAAGGTTTTGAATACAAAAATATGTTTAGCAAGTGCTATAGATATGTTTAATTCTACTATTCAGACTTTGCCTTTGAAGAATATTCATAAGTAGTCATTGGAGCTGTGAGGCTATTCAATGGTTTTGCATTTTACTCGTCTGTTATATAGGCATTTTGCTGATCAAATTTGACATTGTGATATATTTGTATATAGATGTTATTTGACTTGTAATTAACAACAATACAATACAGTTTTTAAGGAAAGATGTGTATTCGATTCCAATCTCATGTAGAGCGTAATGAGAAAATAAGAGAGAGAGAGAGAGAAAGAGAGCTGAGCTGGCTTTTTTAAAATTTTTTACAAAAGTGCATTCTGTATATAGTGTGAAAAACCAATTTAATTTGTTGCTTCTTATTAGGATGAGAGCAATTTTCCTCATAAACAAATGCATTGACCTCAAAATAAATTTTAAAAGAGTGGAGAGTGGGGGAGAAAGGGAGAGAGCGGGAAAGAGCAAGAGAAGGGAGAGGGAGGGAAAGGGGAGAGTATAAGAGTTAGAGGAGAGAGAGAATGAAGTGAGCTTAAAGCTAGAGGAAGGTTTGTATTTTTTTTTGGAGCTTTTAAACAGAGTTTGCCAGAGTAAGAATGAAAGGACCGTCTCCGTTTTAGCCTGGAGGATGTGTTATTTTCTCAGCTGATCGTGCGCGTGACACAGTGGACTGCCGGTAGTTCATTATGCACATGCTCTCTATTGGATAGCGAGCCAATTACAGAAGACAGTATTATTAATGTAAGGACATTGTCCAACCTAAAAACCGGATTCAAACTGACTAATAACTAAGTTTCTGGCTAAGCAATGCTGTTTGAATAAGCTAGGTATGTATTGTAATTATGTATTGTAATTCTTAAACGACTGCACTGTTAAGACGTCGGAAACCAATGGGAGCTGAAAGAAATAGAAATGTAAGGATATGACGCCTACATGATACCTTGATACTGATGTCCTTTGGCAAGCCATCAATATACATTTGCCATTCTCCACCCAGGTGTCGGTACCGGTAGGAAAGATTTCATCAAATGCTGTGAGCACCGAAAACGGTAACCTAGCATATAGAGCCTGGGTAATATGACCGCCTTGTATACACCATACCTAAATGATGCCAGTTTCAAAATGGCTTGTTTGCTGGTTGAGGGCTGGGGCTTATTAATTGGTATATACATTAGCTTTAAGGGTACATGCCCTCACTACTACATGTATCTCTTGAACATTCTTTACATATGACGTGGGGTCTATCAAAGCTATATGTACATTAATTCAAAATGTATAGGCCTTTAAATGTATCTATTGATAGGTCTTTACATACCAATGAATTAGGATTGAACAACCTCTGTATTTAAGAGGGAGAGAAATGTAATCTATTTAATAGACTGACCTTCTTTACTGTCCATCACTCATTCTCATCGAGGTCGGAGCGCTACCGTCTGGTAATTTATGGAACCTGTCAATTAACTGATCAAGTTGCCTCTTTAATTATTCATTGACGTCAGTGAAAGCAAATAATGGAACGGTGGTCTGGGAAAAGTCAGATGGGTTTAAGGTTAGTAAATAGCAGGTAAGTCTGTGGTAAATAGTAACTGTTTTTTTACGAGAGAATAGTAAATACCATAGGACTTCAAAGTATAAATGAGCATGTCGCAGAGAATGGACGTCTCAAAGTGAATAGAAAGCTTGAGAATGGCATTCTGAAAATAATCAAAATAGAAAATGAGGAATTTAATTAAAAAGAGAAAATTCCGTCCTACAATATTACAGTTTTATGATTTAGCACTCAATGGGCCTCGCAATACTATACTGAGTAATGTGCATCAAGTATTATAAACCGTACACAATACGTCACATGTTAAGAAAAGAGGGGAAATTTGATGGAAGCTAGAGAGGGCGTTGATTTCATTAAAAAATTATAGAGGTAGTGCCCTTCTGCTCTTAACAAATCAGGTGGTTTTAATCTTTTAATCTTTTTTATGTATGGGGGTTTACCTTTAGATAAAGATAAAAGAAGGGTGTCTTCATGAAATATGAGTATAATATGAAATGAAATTAAGATATCTTATAATGTGCTAAACACTAAACTCTATTAGAACTCGAATCATTACAAATAACAATTGTTTAACGGGTGAATTTGTGAATCACTCAATCAACAATTTTCCAAAGATAAGATAACAAAGGAGCAACCTAAAACAATGAAATGAAGATTGAAAGAGAAAGACAGAGAACATCCTCAGTTCGACCGCCCTTTTTCATCCCTTCGCCAGTTTTTCAAAATACTTTATTTAGGAAGGTGTCAAAAATGACGCCGGTAAGGATTTTAAGCGATGAGCGGAGGACGAAGACATCAGCTGCTGTTGTCAATTCTGCCCGAATGGAGGTCATGGCATTATCAACACCTTCGTTGATTGCGTAGTTGATAGACAGGTGATGATGGGTTTGGCGGGCCATGAAAAGTACGTAGGTGACATCAAAGGAGGGATGGATCTCTGGTGAAATTAGAGCAAGTCAAGAGTTCAAGACATGGTGTGGTGAGGTGTGATGTGGTTTGGTGTGGTGTGGTTTGGTGTGATGTGTTTGTGTGGTGTGGTATGGTGTGGTGTGGTATGGTGTGGTTTGGTATAGTGTGGTGTGGTGTGGTATGGTGTGGCTTGGTGTGGTGTGGTGTGGTATGGTTTGGTGTGGTGTGGTTCTGTGTGGTTTGGTATGGTGTGGTATGGTGTGGTGTGGTGTGGTTTGGTGTGGAGTGGTGTGTTGTGGTGTGGTATGGTGTGGTGTGGTATGGTGTGGTGTGGTATGGTATTGTGTGGATGGTGGGGTGAGTTATGGTGTGGTGTGGTATGGTGTGGTTTGGTATGATGTGGTATAGTGTGGTGTGGTATGGTGGGGTGTGGTATGGTGCAGTGTGGTGTGGTATGATGGGGTGTGGTATAGTGCGGTATGGTGTGGTTTGGTTTGGTCTGGTTCGGTATGGTTTGGTTTGATGTGATTTGGTTTGGTATGGTTTGGTGTGTCTCGGTGAAGTGTGTATGGTGTGGTATGATGTGGACTGGAATGGTATGATGGAATATGGTAGAATGTGGTGTGGTTTGGTTTGGTTTGGTGTGGTATAGTGTTGTGTGGTCTGGTATGGTTTGGTATGGTGTGGTATACTGTTGTATGGCCTGTATGAAATGACATAATATGGTATAATCTCTCTCGTTTTCTCCTTACTTTCTCCCGACTTCTTCCCTTCTCCATCTCCCCCCCCCCCCTCCCCCAGTTCTCTCAGTCTCCCTCCGCATTCGCTCTCCCCAATAATCATTCATCTATCCATCTATCCACATCTACCTCAGACCTCCTGCATGGTATCTTTCTTCTTCCCGCGTTCTTTGCTGATATTCCGGCCAGACATTGATTAATGTTAGTTATGACTTTAAATCGTCAAATGATGCAAGGTTGGAATGCGATGATCAAAAGAACCCTGGTCCGCCGAATCCATATTCGATTACCCTTGGAAGCTAAACTCGTTAGCCTATAAGATAGATTAGATTGGCTTAAAGGAAATACCAAGGATTCATCAAGGAAAATTGTTTATAAGTGAAGGAACTTCACAAAAGATATAAATTGCACCTTAGGAGCTGATCAGCTTTGTTTCTTATTTGAAGTTAACCCCGTACGAAATGGCGAGAGGTAACGACAAGAGGCAGCAAATAAAAAGACTGAACTAAAAATACAAAAGGGGGTGAAATAATATGGAGGGCCCTATATACGTTTATCGAGTTAAGAGAAATCATGATGTTTTGAAGTTCAAGCTAATTTTCAAATTAATGCACACAAAAAGAAGAAGAAGTTATGAGAATGTGAATCTCATTATTCCAGTACTCAATGACCATTAAAATGCTCTCAACATATGTATGTACTTTTAAACGACAGAATTTACCAAGTGTCCCTTATAAGTCGTTACTTCATAAATATTTTGTTATAGCAATTCTAGTTAAATGTTGCACACAGAAAAGAAGATGAAGATATGAGAACGTGAATCTCATTATTCCAGTAACGACCATTAACATGCTTTCAACATATTTATGAACTTTATCAGAAAGTAAATGACAGAATTTGCTAAAATGTCCCCCATTAGTCGTTACTTCATAAATATTTTGTTAATTTAGTTAACTGTACACTTGTGAATTAATTTTCTAATGGAATATCATTCTTTTAAATTTGGTACTTCATAAATATTTTGTTAATAGCAATTCAAGTTAACTGTACACTTGTGAAATCATTTTCTAATCAGCCATCATTCTTCTTAAACTGCTTTCAGTCATTTAGTAATGCGACGCTCTGACGCCTTCATCTCTCCATAATGCGAGGGCGATAAATCAGAGAGAACACCATAATAATAATCTCTCGCTTGACGCAAACTCTCATGTTACCGAACAACTTTCATCGGTGAACAGTATTAATAAATGCCCCTGTCACATTGCCAGACTGACTCCAAACTAATTTCAACCCTGTCATGTATTGGCAATTCGGTTAAATGTAAATTCTTGTTCGGTCAATCAAGTCTAATGTCGGCGTTTATCGAAACCGTCATAGGTACAAGTTCACCGACATCGTGAATCAATGCCATGATTGGTTTTGTTGATGGTTTTATTATTCGCATATAAAGTATTATGAGCAATACAAAGTTACAAACATAATTATGAACCCACAATTTTTTTTTGAAGACTAGTGGATTGCTCCAATTAGAGCCATTAATATACTCTGTTCTCGCTTGAGATCCATACAAAAAAACTATTTATTACAAAATTATGGATTGAAACCAATATGAATATAACACATATAAGTAAAACAAGATTATTACGAATACATATCTCTAGCCTAGTTGAATGAGGGGAAGAGGGGTAGATTCCCGACCAAGGGAAGCGTTTAAAGTCAAGAAACGAACGAAAGATAGTAATACTCTAATACATATGTTATTTTGGTCGCCCCCTCCCCTATAAACCAAAGCCATCAAAGTAAAACCATTACTGAAAGTATATGGATCATAGTAAGTTGAGATTTGTTGCCCCTCCTGTAGGCAAGGTCTGGATACGCCACTGGAATACCATGTGCATAATATCCGATTCCCCCTTCCCACCCAAGTACATGTTACACATATCTAAGACTGTCATCCCTAGGCCTCTTCCCTCCCAACTAATCTGCAAGCACATAGGCCTACTCTAATTTGATATTTTACTACAATACCTAAAGCCTTGAGCAGAGCCTGTATAATAATAATTCCGCTTTTAGCGCTTAACATCGATGTCTCTAAGCGCTTTACAGATAACTATTACCCCAGTCACTGGATTCAATACTTGGCCGCACACAGCGTGTGCACAATCTCCACTCCCTGGGGAGCAGTCTCTGGCTGTGTAGGAGCCGCTGAAGTTCAGACCTATAGTGTAGTCTCATATTTCAGACACTGTTACGCACAACGACTATCAAGGGTTTGTGTCTCCAAACTACCTCCCAATCGATATGGCCGAGGAGATGTCAATCCTCCTCTTGGTGTGACCGGGGCGCAGGGGCGGCTGGACACTCATCGACGTCGATGGAATTATTTTGACAAATCTAGGTCTCTGGTCCCAGTAGGTACGCCCTCTATGACAGGTCTCCATCCATCATTGTCCCTACTAATTTATGAGAACGTTGGTCAGCCTCTAATAATGTATAAGCAAATTAGTGAAAGGTTGGGCAGAGCTGGTGTAAACAAGAGGTGCAGGTCGACACATTTCTAGTTCCTCTACTTAGCCCTCTCCTAAGTAATAACTTTCTTTGAGAGACATGGACACTGTTCAACTTTAGTTCTGGAACCCGTTTCACAAAGCCTTTTTTCAATGACAAATGACAAATACCAGTGACAAATCTGCTGATAACCAATCAGAAGCAAGAATTTTACTAGCTTATAACAAAAGCTGTCATTTTTCACTGATGATAAGTTTGTGAAATGGGGACCT